GTTTCGACCTGTTTGGGAATTCTAGTGTTATTATCCGTTGCACCAATGGGTTCGGATGATCTAGTGTTAAGGCAACTAAGTTGAGAGTGGAACACTTGTGTATCAAATCGCGTAGCGGATAAAGCGCGACGCGTGCCAAAACGCAACGTACGTGAAAACGTAGAATGTAACGTGCTTCGAAACGCAGAACTTTCGATCGATCCAAGATCAGCCACCGAGTGGATCGAGTAGCCCAGCGATAACGAGCACCGGTCCCGAGGCCGCGAGATAAGCCTCGCCGGCCGAAAAAGAGCGGCCCGAGCCGCGGCCGGCGAAGATTATTCAAATGAAAACAGATAGGAATCACCGGAAAGCCTCTGGGCGCGTATAGGAAGGATTTCTCTCGCGTTTCACGGGTTCCGATCGCGCGGGCCGAGCGTCCGCGCTCACGCGAAGCGTACATAATGCGGCCACATGCCGCGCGCGACACATTCCTCCTCCGCGTTCTTTTTCTGCCGCCTCTTCTTTTTTCCCTTCTTCTCCGCAGCGAGCATCAGCGAGATTACAATGCGTGGGCTGGAAAGTAGCCGGACCCTGGCGAAGAACGGCCGAGGGGAGAAAGGAGGGCCGCGGAGATGTTCGCGGGAGGACCGGGGAAAAGGGAAAAACCGCACCGGTGTCGACTCACGGATCGATCCGCCGAAAATTTCCTCGTTGCCCCGTCTTCTAATCGGTTGGTCGTTGAAACGACACGATCCGATGAATATCCTGCACAAAGAAATCCCTAAAGAACCCGTCGATCCGATGGATTTTGTCACTGTTCCGTGCATTCGCGTCGCATCGAAATGAGAATCTACATTTGTCGCGTCGCCAAGTGTATTTCTCCGTTTCAAATTCTTTGACAGTATAGAACTATTGAACGTTAATTACCAGAAACAGCGAAGAATCTGAAAACCGAGAAGCAGAGAAAATAATCGAAAATGGAAGAGAATTTGTCTTAGTTCTCTTTCAATCTAATTTCTAATATCTTCGTGATCCAATTCTCGAGCGTGCCTAATTTCTAATGCAATGTACGCATAATTGTATAGGTGCAGAGAAAGGTACAATGAAAGCCCTTAATCTATTGTCAAATAAGGCTGTTGTTTATAAAATGGCGACCGAATTGACCGATGTCTGAAGGTAATAGCACCGAGCACGGTTCGTTCGTGGCAACTGCCTCTTCCCGTTGAACACACCATAGATCCGACGCGATCATCGAATAATCGGGCTCGCCACCGAATTCGAGCGCGCGCTGCGTGGGTGGCCTGCCACCTCCACCGTCCACCTTCCTCCGCCAACGGTAACCACTACCGGCTGGCAATGCAGCTCGCGCTGGCCTCTCTTCTCTTCCGATGATGAATGACTTTCGTATAGCAGCCTACCGCGTCTCCGCGATCGTCTCGTTCGCGTTCAGCCCCTTTCCCTGCCCTCCGCCCGCCCCGTTTCTCCATGGGACGCGATCGCCGTTTCCGTTGATCCCCACCAATGAGCCGACGATTTGCATCCGCGACTGCCACTGATAGCCAGTGACGTGTTATCGAGGTTTTTAATCGTTTCGAATATGCAAATAACCATTCGCGGCGAGAAATTCGGAGCGTCGATTATCATTTCGTGCGTTCGAATTCTTGCTCGTTTATTTATTTATCCTCGTTAGCGTGCAATGAGAGTTCGAGCGACGTTTCAGAGATATAATGAGAAAGGTGCGAATGTAAACGAGGTACGAAGAAGCACCCATACAATTATACAAATTTAAATTCCGCGGTAGGCAATAGCGTCGTTGGAAATGGCATTCACTGAAACTCAGACAGAGATTATACGCGAATCAAGGGACAAAGTTAAGAGACAAAATATTTCTCGGAAGGTAACGCGGTTAAGTCAATTTTTCGATATCCTCTGAATCGTGCAAGCTTTAACGGAACAGATGATATTCTGATCAATCAAGATCAGAAGTCCCTTTCTACAGCTCCCGAATACAGCGCACAATACAAAAGCCAAAACATTCATTTCCCCGATGTCTGTTTCCCGGACTTCACCATATCGGCTTCAGAGCTGAAACATCAAACTCCGTAATCCTACGGTGTCGAATCAATCGGTTTCCGAGGGTCACAGTTCCCGAAACGCCAGTCTCAAGCACACGAGCGTCGTTTCAACGGTTCTCGTATCAACAGCGACAGACCTCGCCGAAGAAGCTTCGGCTTCTTCAGCGGCCGGGACATCGAAAAGTTAGCCAGCTATTGGAGCCTAGAGCTCCGAAGCCTAGGGCTTCGAACGGCCATCACCGGCGACAGCGACTTTCGCCGCGGTCGTGGCTCCTGGAACAATGGGAATCGTTTATCTCGGCGCTCCGGCCGGGTAGATTTCGTTGGCCGCGTTGTCCTGCGAACAATGGCGCGCGCCTCTTCGTAAATGAGACAGAACGAGGGCAACGTCGCCGGTCCACGGTTAACCGCAGGTATACACACTCCCGATTCGGGGCCCGACCCGTGGGAGGTTGCGCGTAGATACTACAAGGAACTCGAGTTAAGTGGATACAGTCGTAGCCCGTTAAATGCCGAGTTTCGCCATGGGTGACGAATTTGAAAGGCGACGGTGACACCTCGGAGCATCCGCAGCCGCCTTAAAAACATTCGAATGCCAAAGCGGACGGGGGGTCCGCGGGACAGCTCGTTCGTTCCTGCGGTTCGAAAGACTTTTCACTTCGTCCCCCCTGTATATACCTCTCACTCTCTCTCTTTCTCGCTGTCTCTTTCTCTCTCGTTTTCGCTGGAGCGTAACCGGGGCGTCCTTTTCAGCTACCTGAAGATGCCGAGGAGGTGGCAGGGACGGGTCTTCATATTTTATACGGGATGGGATCCTTTATGCGGTCGACTACGGGGGCACCCAGCGTGTCGAATAGAATTCAGGAGGCCGGTACACGATAGGTATTTTGACATGCCCGAGAAATTAGTATAATAAAGAGGGGGGCTACGTAGACCGGCTAAGTGCCTAAACACACGCCGTAAATCTCACCCCCGGTGCTCTCGAAGATCCGGCCAATGCGGTGGGGCCGCCTCGCCGCGATCGTACGCGCGCCGCGTTCACGACGCGACGCCCTTCTTCGAGCCATCAGCCTGGATCCCGGTGAACTTTGATCGATCGGGCTAGACCCCGCAACGGTTTCCTTTTCTTTTTTCTCCATCCCGATTCCGGCTTTTTCCGCTTTCGATTCCCGTTCACGCAAATGACGGCTGCGATTCTTGCGGTTCTTTTGTTCGGACGGACGCTGGGGATCGTTGTTGGTTCGTTGTTTTAGGGTTTGAGCGCAGGGGCTTCTGTTTGAGGTATTTAGTCGAGCTACTGGAAGGGTGCAGATGAGTCGGTGATTTGTTTCGTTTGTCGTAGGAAGGCGGAGGTTCGAGAGTATTGAAGGAGGTGATTTAGCGATACTCGAATTCTGATGTAAGTTGAAATCTTCGAGTAGACTTCCCAAGTTTCTTTCATACGAACCAAGTGCTTGGCAGTTGTGTTGATTTTGGTAGCAACTGTTAGAGAATTGCATTGTTGCGGGTTCATTTGAATTCGTGTATGGGAATGGAAGTGTTATTTGTAGTTTGGACGATTCTTTGTTTCAGTGCGAACGAGACGCTTTCGTTAAGAGCAATCGAATAGCAGGGATTTTCTGTCGTTCAAATTGGAGCGAGAGTAATATTTGAGTCGAGGTTCCAGTGCAACGCTGTATAACCAGCGAACTTGTCCATAAGAGGGTTTATATTTCGTATCAACCCTCCTTCCGTCGTTGAGTTTTTTATTCCCGGCCGACTTGCAGCGACGACAATTCCGGGAGATCGGCGGAACGAGGAGAGTACGATTCGTATATACGGTACGTTCGAAGGACGGGTCGCATCCCGTCTCGACGAACTCGGAATCGTCGGGCTCGAATAAATTCACGACGCGAGATTCCACCTGGAAACTCGATCCAACACGGTGTACGCCTCTATTAGCAGCCGGTGTGGATACGTATGTATATCGCGACGCCTGGGCCAACGCCAGTGGCGTAATAGCGGCGCCGGCAGCTGCGCGAATTTCGCCTGACGTCTGCGAATCGACGACGCTACGCTTGCAACGCGAAACGATACATCATCCTCTTTTGTCCTTGCAACAGTAACAAGTTCGATAAACCAAGAAAATCCAGTGAACCCGCCCAGATCGGTTAGTCGATGATCCAGAATGATCCCGGATCCAAAAATCCCGGGACATAAAAATGGCACCGAAGGATCACGCCTGATTCACGCGCGTTAGACGACCCGTTCGAAATTCCTTTCTCCGTGTTCTCGAAGCAGCGCTGGCTCGACGAACGTGCGAAAAAAAGCGGAGTCCCGAAAATTCAAGGAGAACGAGCTACGCCAATGCGCGCAGAGTCGTGGTACATACGCAGATAGGTACGAACGCCGGGCATCCGGTGCGCGAGGGGTCGATCGATCTCTCTTTCGTCGTTGCGCGGCCACGCCGCTTCCAGATACCTTCGGTATCGGTGGTGGGTACGGCGATGGTGGAGGAGGATGGAGGTGGCGGCGACAGTAGTGGTGGTAGCGTCGTCGATGGTCGAAGGTAGCGGAGCGGTGGTCGTGTCGATTGAGAGGTGGGCGTGGTCCAGCCGTCCGCCGGGCAGCGAGGGGAAAGGGAGAGCCGACGGGACCGCCCACGCGGCGCGCCGCCGCGTATCGCCGGCCGTCTCGTTTCCCGTGGCCGCGCGGCCTGCCCAGAATCCGTCTCGTTCGCGCGACCGCCTCGTTTGGGCCGGAGGGCTGGCCGCGGGCCACGCCCACTAGGGGCGCGCGCAGTTTCCCTCTTCGTCGGGCGTTCGGGCTCGGCGCTGTCGCGTCGCGTCGTGTTATCGGCGGTCCGTGAGCGGCCAGCACCGAGCGCCGTTGCCGTCACCCTCGTCCGCCTGGTGGGGCGAACGGTGCGCGTGGGAGGAGGAGCAGCGGCCCAGTGGAGTCCGGGAAGTCGAGCAGCGCAGACGCGTTCGTTCTGCTCCGCGGCGATCCTATAGTCTTGGCCATACCTCTTGCGAGCCGCATCCTCTTCGCACACCGACACACGATCCACGGGAGCTCCGTCCCGCGACGATCCTTCGCCAGCGTACGAACACGCGCGGCGGCTGCTGCCCCAGCGCCGGCCCTTGCTCGGCCCATCCACCGATCCGTCCGCGACCATTTCACGTCCCCGATCGTCCGAGGAACACGCCGCGGGGTTCGATCGCCTTGCGATTCGACGGGAGTCGATGGGAAGTGGAGGTGCGTCGTCGTCTCGCGGTTCATCGCCGTGTCGTCGACGGCAGCGACGTTCCGACCGCGGAACACCGATCAGAGGAACGAGTCGCGGCGCGTCTTCTCGCGAGTGACGGTGGTGAGATCCCCTCGATCTAGGAAGAGGATCGCGCGGTCGCGGGACCGTTCCGTGGTTTCGGGAGGAAACTCGTCCGGAGGACGCTGGGCGAGCCGGAACCGAGACAGAGAACGGAGAGGCGAGGAGGACGCGGGAGACGCGGAGAGGAGAGAGGAGAGAGAATTTCGGAGAAGATTGGAAACCGAGGTGTCGTCAAGCGCGAGGAGGGATGCCTACGAAAGGGGAAAGGGGAAAAGCGACGGACTTCAGCATCGCGGCCATCATGGCGCCCAGGGGTCCGTCCTTCGGGCATTACCACCTGCAGGGCATCGGCAACACCGCCGCTACCGCTAACACCAACCTGGAGTGTCCGACCGCCAGAGGATTCGTCGCCAATTCCGCTCTCGATCACCGTAAGTTCACTTCCTTCTCTCGCCTGTTCTCCCGTTTTCCCTTTGCTCGGCCGCGCGACAACTTCTTCTTCTTCGTAGCTGGACATGTTTCCCTGTTTGCCGTTTTAATGGCTCAGCCCTTGGGCTCGTCGCCCTCCGCTTAGCCCGGCTGCAGCTCCGCGGACTGTGCGCTGGTAATGTTGAAGTGCTGGTGTCGCGCGAATGTAAATACTTGCCTATGCTAATAACAGTAGTGTCAGTAACGACAAATAACAGTAACGGTGACGAGAAACCTCGTAGCAAGAAATCCCGCGGCGTTTTTACCACGGTTACATGTCAACCGAAGAGAATCCGGCCAGTCATGTTCTTATTTTAACGATCCGCCGGTCTTATGCAAACGTAAATCACACTGGAACTATTCGTATCGCTACCGGACGCGTCCCGTTCGTGTCTTTTGGGCCGTGTCGCCTCGACGCGAGCGCCGCGGCTCCAAAAGTTTCCCGGTGAACGGGTCGAAATTCTTCGGAGAGAGAGATAGACGTCGGTCCCCCCGCGCGGATTAGGTGTCGACAAGTTTCTACGGACGAATAAGGAAAAAAACCGCGATAAAGATCGTATCCGTGTCCCGTGCGGCGCGCGGCCGAGGTGTTAACCCGTGTCGCTTTTAATCTTGCCTTGTATTCGCGGGTCGCTGCGGCGCGGCAGCGACGGAGGATCGTTAAAATTATCTGGACAACGTTGTACCGGCCCGAATTACACGATAAAGTTGTCCGCCTCTCGGATCAACGGAACCGCTTAATCGACCGCGATGAGTTTCGATGACGATTAGGCCGGCGACGGTTGCCTCCGTTCTCCAATTCGTTCAACTCGTTACACCCGACAGATAGACGAATGATAAAGATTCATATACGTCATTAAACTTTGTGCAATGCATCGACGTGCGAAATGTCGAAGTAAAATAGCTTTATTTCGCAATTCGAGTATGTTTCATAGTTACTTTCGAAGTATGTCGTCCGCTTCGCGTTAGAGAGTATCGACTGTTCATAGTGAGAAACCTTCGAGTGCAAGGAATCGAGTGAAATTCACGGGAATTATCCGAATCGGGTGAACTCCGAAACGAACGCATCGTTGGCTGCCTAAGCGACGCGTCTTCGTTGAACAATTCGAATCGCTTAATCGTACTGAATCTAACTGTGACGAACAGGCAATCTCCAGATAGACACGTTACAGTCCAGTGAAATAACGAGTGCGACTAAAATTCGAACGCTGGCAGCTTAGAAATAATTCAAACGTGCGGTACCGAACAGGATAAATCATATTGTAATCAAAACATGCACGGTTCCGTGCTTCGACGTTCGTTTAAACCGACGCGCAAGCAGAGACCGGCGCGTTGTCGACCGTTTAACAATGTTGAGTCGCGCGTACTCGGTACTCCCGTCCGTCGGCTCGTCACGCGTGGAAACTTCGTGCGAGCCGGTCGTTTCTCCTCGGCTGGACTACGTTCTCGGAAATCTTTGATCCCCGCGTTGCTCTAGGTGTTTACGCGTGATTCGATCGCGTTCGAGCATCGACGGATGCTCCGATTGCTGACAAGCGTCTCGCGGCTGATCGTCTACCCAGCGATTTTCCTCAATCATCGCGGTTAACGCGTTCGCCGCCACCGGAATGATCAGCGATTCGCGTACACCGTTCGTTTCCTCGTAACACAGACGAATGGCGTTAGGACAAGCGATTAATTGTTAAACGTCGCAGTTCTTTGTGCTATTATCCAGCTGTTCGCGCTACTGGATACACGTTTTCGGCACCAGCTGCTCGATCCCGATTACCCGAATCCGGATGAGCGGCTCGCCGACGCGTTAACGGTCGCGCGGCTAAAATCCGATCCTGCTTCTCCTCCGTCCGTTTAATTAGAAATTCGCGATCCATCGTGCGGGTTGAAAATAGAATTCCTGACAGCGGGACAGGGAGGGTCGCCTGGCGGCGGCGCATCGGGCGATAGTTAGCGTCCGAAACGGGAACGCCGCGGACCAGAAAACAAGGCGGCTAATTGTTGCCAACGGATCGCGCGTAAATTCTACCTGTTCGCACCGAAATTAACGACCCGGTCTATCTTGGAGCTAGGCGTCGACGGCGGACGCGGCTCCGATTTTTCCGATTCCTCGCCGGTTTATCGGGAAAAGCGCGAGCGAAGAGGAAGATTGGCTGGAGTCCGAGACCAGCCGTAGCTCCGCGGCGGAAAACACGGCCCCGACGCGGAAAAAGCAACACGACCGGGCCAATTTTCCGAGGAGGGAACGTAAATTGCCCCTGTTTTTGTCTCGGAGCGCTCGACCGTTCGCCGCTTTCAGCCGGTAATCACATTAGCGCACTTAACGACGCCATTACGGCTCCCGTGGCAATCTAGAGATTCTTAATCGTTCCCAAGAACAAGTTTCGCCGTGTCGGTGGAGGATGAAAGAGAGACAGAGCGATCGACCGAGGAGAGCGGAAGGATACAGCGGCGAGGGGGGCCTCGCGGGGGAGGGGGATTCGAAGGGAGAGAGTGGAAGGCCGAGGTGGAAAACATTAAATACCAACCGGCAATTAGATTCATAAGATCTCCTATTGCCGTCACTTGTAATCATTGTCTCGCGGGACCGTGGTATCGCGCGCGCGGCGCCGCGGGAACGCCGCGCGACCCGTCGCCCGAGAAGAGGAGAGAAAAAAAGGATTTCTATGAATGAGCCCCCGGTGCTCGATGTAAAAGCGCCACGTAGCGAGGCGGCAACGTGAAATCAATTCGGGCTGACAGCGGCGTAGCGTGCGCGCGATAATAACGACTTGGCGGCGGCGGCGGCGGCGGCGAACAGCGACACGTATTCTGGCCGACGATAAACGTTGGAACGCGTCGGCCGGGATCGCCTCCGCCGCTCCGATCTTCTTCGCGACGCCCCGACGATCGCGAACCAGAGCGAGATCGGAGTTCAGCGTTTTCTCGGGTGACGTCGCGTTCCCGAGGTGCTAAGGAGACGCTTCGAGCCTGTTGGTGCAGCGCGGTTGATCGACTCGCTTCGATCATCCGACGATCCGCGAACGAGGTTTCATTTCGTGCAATTCCAGTCGCTTCTCTCGGTTCTCGCGTTCTCTCGAGTTTCCTCGAGGCTTACCGTGTTGCGTAGGTATCTAGAAGGGGATGGATCTCGCGTGTCGACGTAACGCGATCGTTACTCGGCTCGTTTCGATGATCCAGGGATCGGAAGAACTCGCTCCAGTCTGCGATCGCAGTTTCGTGTCGAAGTCTGGTGGTTTCGGTCGCGTTTCCTCGTGTCCTCCGGTGTCAGCGTCCCGAAGGTTTTAAAAAGTGGTCTAACCGAACTCGTTCCGGTGATCCACCGATTCGAGGCTCGAACGGCTCAGTTTCGGCTCGCGAGGCCCCACTTCGCGACGATTCGTTCCCGATCGCGGTTCCTCGATTCCCGAGGCACCGAAAAGAGGGCGGACCGAGCCAATTGGTGTAACGCGACCGTTACTCGGCCCGTTCCCGTCGATCCTTTCGAGGCAGCGTCCTTCGAACGGCTGGGTGGTGACAGGATTCTGGGTGGTCGGCTGTCGGTCGCGGCAAAAGGAAGCTGACGTCAGTAGCTCGGTCATATTTCTTCTTGCCTTAAGATCATGGGACACGGGACCACCTCTTGGTGGCAGGCCACGATCGAGCCCTCGACTGGTTGCCGGTGCCGGGGAGCTTCCGGTTCGTTCGCGCGCCGGTTCTATTCGCGTTCAGAGCGGCCCCGCGCTCGCGTGCGCGTCGCCGCATCGAATTAAGCGCCCCAATAAACCGCGCCGCGCGGAAAACTGAACGCGCGGCGCGGCTTATCGAGCGGAAAGCGTAAATACCCGGGAAAACGCGAGCTCGGGATTTATCGCGTTCGTGTCTCGCGTCAGGTGGCTGGTAATGAGACGGCGGCGTTCGAAGCGAATAAGTTCTTTATAAGCGATCGGTTCCTCTCTTTCCCCCGATTCCTTCCCCCGGCCTTCGTCCCTCGGACAATGGACAGCTTCGATGGCCTCTTCCGGTTCGCGAGATCGGCCTCCGGGCGTCGTCCGCGTGAAACCGTCCGCGAATATCGGTGACTCATTGTGCTCGGAAGATGGGAGAAGGCAATAATGAGGCTACCGTACGCGTCGCGTGTCGCCGCGGAACGTTATTAATGCTGCGTATGCACGTACCCATTACGATCGTGATTTCGCGACAGCGAAACGAAACCGACCGACCGACCGACCGACTGGCCAGCCTGCCGGCCGCTCCGGGGAACTCACCTTGGCCGAACACAATCGTCGCGAGTAAATGCCACCGTCGATTCCCTTCCCGCGAGGATCGTCGGCCCACCTTTTGCCCGGCACCGAATCCGGGGCCAGCGGGGTGGAGCGGGACGGGGCCGGGGGACGAAGGAGGAGGCCGCTCACGGAGGTAAAACAGGAATCCGAGATGAAAACCGCGAACGCGCGATGTTCGTGAAAGAACGTCGAGGTCGAGGCGCAACACGCAACACGCACGGCCGAGGTGTTAATTTTAACGCCAGGCTTTCCCCGATGCTCGCCTCTGTCGACCGGCTGTTTCGAGCAAGCGCGCGCTCGTTTCGCGAAACCAGTCCCGCCCGCGACCCCCTTACCGCCGGCAGAATTTCGTAAATTGTCGCGGCGCGGCGCGTTTCGTTCGGTCGTATTGGTTCGATGACTCGGGGAACGGGGATGAATTCGGAGAGGAGGAACGTCGCGCGAGGGTTCGATTCGCGGTGATTTGAACGCGACGCGTTCAAGGATGCTCGTGTACTGCGGTTGTCGTTGGAGCAAGCGATGGGTGGTAAAAGCATAGCAGCGAAGGAACATAATGCGAATAGATTCGGAACGATAGAACGACGCGTTAAACCAGTTCTTCGCTAACAGTAGCAAGAACAGGAATACGCCAGCAGAATCGAAGGGACATAACGCGAACAGATTCGAAGCAAGAGAAAGATTCACGATAGTTCCATCCTGCGTTCACTTCGACGCTTCGAGGGTCATCGTCGTTACAGTTAAATCGAGCGATTCTTCGTTGGCAGAAGCAGGGGCAGCAGAAACGCGAGTAGAAGGGGCGACGGAGGTCCTGCGAGGATAGGAAAATACATACAAATAGGTAGGAAAACGGAAGAGCGGCTCACGCGAGTTCGGTTCCGCGCCGCTGTCGACGCCGCGAGCTGGCCATCGACTGCGCGTTATTACCTTTATCAGTAGAGGAAGCCATTATATGGGATGGCGGAGGTAGGAGCAGCAAGAGAAACGCAGGCCAAAGCGGCGAAGGAGAAAGAGGAAGCTCGTGCGTGCGCGACAAGCGCCGATGACAATGACTGCGGTCTGCGTGAGTGCGTAACGTGCACGCAGATGCACGGGAGCGCACGCAACGAGCGAGAGCCGCACGCGATGCCCCGCTAACTCGCCTTCCTTTTTAACGCGCCTCGCGCGCCCTCGTCGTTCCTCCCCGAATTCGCGCAGAAATTCGCCTCCTTTCTTTCGCCGGGCCCTTTTCGACGGTCGCCGGGGACCGGTATAATTTCATCGGCGGCCCGCTTCGCGTTTCGCGTGTTACGGCCGGCCGGGGATCCGCTCGGACCAGTTACGCGTGCGCGCGGTTTCAGTCGACGACTGCTCCTTTATTGTTGCAAAAACTCGAGTCCTCCGAGCTTTAAAGCTTAGCCTTAAACGCCGAGTCTCGGAGGCTTACACGGTTCCGCGAAGCTCGAGTCCTCGGAGCTTCAAGGTTCAACCTCGGGCGTCCTCGACGCTTGTAGACCTAACCTTAAAGGCTGCCCCCTGAAAGCTTGGCGATAGTATAATAGCAGCATTCGAGCAGTCGTTCCCTCGAAATTATATCGTACTTCCACTTGCCGTTTTATCGCGCTCGTTTCAACACGCGCCGGATCTTACAAAAGATTCTTGAGAAAACTGCCGAGCAATTGGAACGAGCTATTCCGAGTTTCCTATATGAATTAGAACAATACGTTCCTCTGGATTCGAAGGATCTACGCATCCATGCGAACGCGTTTGGTATAAAGTCCCTCGCGAAAACGTCTGTATAATTCGTACGCTCGCGAAGCGAAGATTACAGTTGAATTTGACTCCGGTGGTTTCAGCGTTAAACCGTGCCGGTACGATTTAGAAAGCCCTTCTCGCTTGACATGCACGACCAGATGCGCAAAAAGTGTTGGCTCGTAGCTGGCTCGCTCGCGTAGCGACGTACTTTACACGTCCGCGTCGTTTTACGAGCGAGAACCGTTCGTTTCCAGTTCCCCGGCGAAGTGACAAACACGCGTAGACACACGTACGCGCGCACTCGAGGGGCAACGAAAGGAAAGGCCGTTTTTTATGGACGCGTTTACCATTAACCGTGTCGATTTAAACGAGCGAGATGCACCGGAACGATACGCGGGGCCCGAGCGAGCGTCGGGGGGACGCCGCTGCGCGCCGCGCCGCGCCGCAGGGCGGGGGTAATTAATCGAACCGGGCGCGCATCTGCTACGAAGGTGGCGCCTAATTAAACCGTCAGATTTCAAGAAAGCCAATCCACCGCGCCAGTGTACACAATGTTAATTGCGCCGGTCACGATACCGATCTGTTAATTTGTACTATTCCGCGCGAACAATGCGTCTTCCGGCCCCGTATCTCAAATTGGATCCGCAACCGATACCGCGCGCGTTCACGTGCGCGCGCGCACGAGCGGCCGCTCGCTTTACCCTCGCGCGCCGTGGACGTCGCCACGCACGCCGGGAAGAAGGAACGTTGCTTTAGCCGGTCGACTGTGGGAGTTCGAAAAATCGCGAGTTTGTTTAGGGGAATCAATCGATGAGCGTGTACGTCGGCCGTGCGGCGAATGTAGTTGATGTACGTGTGGTAGAAGGAAGATTGAACGAAGAAAGGAGTTATATTTGTTTATTCGAGAGGACGTCGGATGGAATTTTCGTCAGGAAATTAGTAATAGTTTTGACATTTTGAGATGAGACTTTCATAGGTGGAATACCGAGTTGCGAAGAGATGATGTAACTATTCGAAATCGGTACAGTTAGTTTCTATTTAAGCGTTTCTTGTATAATTCCGCGGAATCTGCGAAAGGTTAATGATAGGTACTTGGAATAATTTCGGTATCAAGGATTGAAGATATTAATGAGATCGAGGAACGTCGAACGGAGATTGACAATTGGATCGAGCGAAAGGATCGCGACGCTGTCTATCGACGGAGTCGATTCTCTAGATGGAATTGAAGCGAAGACAATGTATCTCGAACGTCTGTGGTTCGAGTCCCCCGGTATGCGTCGATTTCATTATATCCCGAGTCGACCGACGTTTCCACCGTTACGTCGGAACGCCGTTTTTCACGCGCAACTCGTTCGAGCTCGAAAAAGAATCTGATTTATCCGACGGAATGCGCCGATTAATGCACGATCGAACATTGTTCGTAAGCGGGTATTGAAAACTCGGGAACGAGCATGCGGCTGGCATCGATGGAATTCTAACCGAGGCGGTTCAAAGCGCGCGTCGCGTCGATTCGGTTTCGTAAACGTTTCTATCCGTTACGCTAGCGCGAGCGTTCCACCGGCCACGCGCGCTGGAACCGGTTTTTTCGTCAAATTTCCGACGACGCGCGTTTGACAGCGATGGCGTCGGCCAATTACTTTCACCGTTCCGGCCTAACGTCGCGTTTCCTCGTTTCCCCGCGCGCCCGTAGCGCGAATGCGAAACGACGGACGATGGTTCGCCACGCGAGCAACGGGTAACTGGAACAACAGAGAACCGAGCAACGATTAGCGCGTCAAGTGGCACGAAAATCCTGAGCGTCTTTACGTAACACTTACTCCTTCGCAGCAATGAAAAACAAGGACAATCATTAATTATTCGGCATTACAATCCTCGCGTTGCACGTCAGTTTCACTCGCTGTTACAAAACTTACTGCAACTCATTTGCTCAATGATATTTCTCAGTTTTTAGTGTTTCCCTCGCGAAACGAAGGTTTCCAAGTTTCTCCACGTTACTTTTTACTAATATCAATGCCGAGTATCCATTAATAAGAACCATATGAAACGTAACGTTGATTCTGAGAACTATCAGTTTTTCGCTTTAAATCTGATCCGATTCGGTCTACCCTTTCGCGGAGTGATTAACATACCCGTTGCTTCGAATAACTTTTACGCTGTAGGCAAGGTACGAATGTCCAAATGACGATAAGAAACGAATAACCCGAATACAAATAATCGATTAAGTTCAATTATCCAATAAATAATTCCACTGAAACAACGATCCGCTTGTCGGTGATCCCCGTCCAAAGTTCCGTTTACGTGACCTTGGTCACTGGTTGCAGGGATGAGGTCGTCGCCGGTGAACATCGTCGCGACCGCGACCGTCGTGACGGAGGAGGCGTTGCTGGCCGACGACGAGGTCGAGAACTGCGAGGGCGAGAGCGAGGGGACGGAGAAGTCTGGCAACGAGGAGGACGAGGAGGTCGACGTGGACGTCGAGGAGTGCAGCAGCGTCGACGACGGGCCGGTCCACAGCGCGCCCGACGACCTGAGCGCGACCTCGACGAGAAAGTGCCAGGACGTCCACGGCGACCACGAACGGAAGCACCGGCTGAGGACCAGTTGCAACTCCGACGAGCTGCGGGACGTTGAGTGCCACCTCGAGACCAAGGAATTGTGGGACAAGTTCAACGACCTTGGCACCGAGATGATCATCACGAAAACGGGCAGGTAAGCGACTCGCTTTTCACCGCATGCGAACAGTGTCTTCGTAATTATTCGAACGTCATTGAGGGCTCGTCGGGGATTCACGGTGAAAGGACAGATGGCTCGGTTTCATCGGAAGAATTTATCAAATTTCTCAGATTTCTCAAAGAGTGTCTTACCGATAGTTAGCGAAGGAAGCTTGAACGCGTATTTCAGAATAGTTCGACAGGCTTTCGACTCGTTGTGTGTTCTACTGGAAATAATTGGGGACAGACAGTTGGCGATTCAAATGGGATTGAGTGGCTTCAAATGGAATCGGTGTAATAGTAATCGATCGGTCTATTGACACCTTGTTTATGGTTTGCTTGACTGTGGCCGAGGTTCGTTTGTTAGCGATGTGGAAACCGGAAGGTGTTTAATTTATATCGGAGACATGGCGTTTGGGTTAGTCTCGTGATTTCATAAAGCAGAGGGTTAACATGTTGATCGTGTTTCTATGTTGTGAATGTTTACTTGTTCAGCTTAAGCAACAATGCGCCGTTGGAACGTCAACCGCGCGCTGGGAAGACGTGGCACGCACGTCGAGACGTTTCTGTTGCGAAATTCTGAATTATGTTTTTCACGCGTTGACAATCTTGTTGCTATTAGATTGCTTCGAGATGTATCTCTCTATACAGAATGATTAACAAACGAAAATGGTGTATGTATCAGCGTAAAATAGGTAAAAACAAAATTAAGAAATAGAAGAAATACAATATTAAATCGTTTAACTGAATTGGATCATTGTACGTTTATCAAACTGAATGTCACTGCAGTGGGTAGCATTATTTGTAATATAGTAATCGAAGTACAGTAATTCGATTTGGTGTCACCGGTGACCCTCATGGCATTCAACGTGTTAATGAACTAGATAGAAAATCTGTCGCAGTCCCACTCCTCGTTTCCTATAACCGACCGAAACGTTCGAGTAACAGTGAACAGCGGCAGAAGTCGAACCACCATGCTATCCTCGTTCGAAAGTGTTGCACGCTGGCATTAAAAGCATTCCGGATCTTCCTCATTCCCGAGGATAGGGGTTGCTCGCATGCAGCCGCGTGTAGGACGACCCGAAACGAATCGGCTCGTCGGTGTTCTCTGTCGAGAGTCGTCGCGTGGCTCGCGCAGTCGCGCAACCGCGCAGGTGCACCGGAAGATGGCCGAGACCGGCACGAAGCGAGGCGAGGCGAGGCGATTGCCACCGAACAGACGAAAACACGTTCCTCTTCGGCGTTTATCGCTTTGCTCTCCCGGCCAACTTCGACGTACCTACACGATCTAATTACTCAATTTTCAAAATAATTCCCCTCAACGTACGCGCGTCGAATCTCTTCCAGCTGTCGTTCCGTTAGAAAAATACTCTGTACGCGTGACTTAACGTTCTCGCAAAAACCCAACCGCCAAGCGCGATTTTTCATTTCGATTCAGATACCGAACGACGCTTTTCGTTTACAGAGGCGAACGTTGAAAAGTGAAGCGTGCAATGACAACGATAAAAATGAATAATTAGGAAAAGAAGGAAATAAGCATTCGATTCTATAAACCGATCTTTGCCACTCGGACGGTTAATGACCGTCATTACACCTGTTCGTCATTCCCGTGCATCTACTTTCCAAAGACAACCGTCCCTACCGGTTGGTATTTCAATCGATCGAGTAGTCGGAGCGTTAGACGATCGCTCGCCTCGAAATCGGCGAACAAAAAGCTTCGGGGCCAAGAAGCTGGGAGCAAAAAAGCACGGGGAAAGTCGGGAACGAGCGGCTTTCCGTTCGTCGTAGTGGCCGGTCGGCCAATCGCCTCAATTTAGTGAGTGCGAACGTGTCGGGAGGGGCGGCCGGGCGAGAGACACGCCGGAGAAAATGAAATTTTTCGGGATCGCAATTACGCGTCATTACCGCGCGACGATCGCCGTTCACGCCCATTAATTATCGCACTACCGCAACAACAAAGGCAGGCCTTTCTAGTTGGTTAAACCGTCCGCGCGCGCTTGGTTGCGGGCAAATTGCCCCCGCTCAGACAAAAGTCCCAGGCCCCGCGTTACCCGTACTAATGGATTTCATTGAGCGACGTTTTACGGGATGTTTAAGGGAGTTTCGGGTGTAATTTATCGTGGAAATTTATGCCCCTTTGTGGATATACCGCGCGCACGTTCATTTTTATAGGTATGCTAATAAACCCGTGGCCGCAGCTGCGGGCTCTAAGGATGCGTGACCGCATCCACATTGCGAGATAAGTACTCGTGCGCGAGGGAGCCTCCTAAAGCCGCGTCCTGCGCCGAACGATCGCCCGATCGCGATGGATCGCGGACCAGCCGATAGTCGCGCGTTTAATCCGGCGCGAGGGAGTTTCGTCGACGTTGTTTCTACTCGATTGCACCGCGATATCTGGGTTTAATCGTTCGCCCGAGGATATTTCCGAAAGGAGAAAGTATTCGATACAGAAATTAAGAGTGATTCGATTCGGTAGGAGATCGGTATATAGTTTCCTTTTGTTTCTGTTATTTAAGCATTCGATGTCAGCTACCTTGCTGATTTTGGAAACTTCGAGGGATCGGTCCGCGAGGGATAAAATCGTGGTTACTCGTGGTTTCATTGGAACATTAGGAATAAAGGTCGAGTCGCGGAAGTCTCTTTCCAGCTGTCGCCTGAAATCGAGGCATCTTAACCTTTTGTTGCGAATCAGGTGGCGATTGTAAGGCGCCCTTCGAGTGCAAAGGGTTAATATTAAACTTCGTATAATGCAACAATGTACGAAGTATCGAAAGAAAATAGTTCTCGATGCACGTGAGATTTCTTAATTCAATCTAAGAAAATGTCGTCTCATTAGAAAATATTGAATATTTGCGTAAAACTTGTCGAGAGCAAAGGGTCAACACCGTTACCGTCAATCCGTTACAGCGGCTTGCTTCCGATTAAACACAGAACAGTCCTGGAACCTTGTAATCTCTGTAAAAAAGTGTCTTCGCAACAAGACCGTTAAAACAGAAAGCTTGTAACGGGCGATTCCGACTTGTCCACCGGTTCCACCTTGAATAACTTTGATTTAGCGACTAGCAGCGGCTAATAGTCGTTAACCTCTGTTCCCCCGATGCATCATCGTCGACCGGCACAATTAACATTTAATTCTACGCGAGTCCGCGATGCCTCGACGGTGGCGGGCGAGCGTTATCGAGAAGGACATCAACGCGAACGACCGAGTTTCGTCGTTTCCGCGGCGGACACGCGCGAAACGGTAATGCGCGCGGCGGCCGAACCGATACGACCGGCGGTGCGGGCAGCCTTGAAACCCGCACGCGACGCTCGGCACCTCCACCGCAGTCGATAGACGCGGTCGCGCGGATCGCGGCGTCGCTGACCCCCGGTCTAGGAATCGTGGAAAAAAGAATTTCGAAACGATTCCGGGGCGTGTCGGGCCGTCGCGACGTACTCTTCCTGCCGGCGATCGATATATCAGGAGCGCGACGATGCACGAATAGCGTCGTTAGCACGAGAAAGTTGGCACGGAACCGCCGGCTGAACGAAAACGTCACTCCGCCGAGTGACAATACGAATTCGGACCAATCAGGTGGAATTGTCTGGCCCCGCGGGGCGCCCGGCCCGTGCGTTCTCCGATTCTTCCGCGAGGGCCTCAGCCTAGCTGCTCGCAGGCCCTCTTTTTCCCACGTCCGCCAGTTTTCGAGCTTCTCTCCGCCGTCCCTCCGTGTCCACCTTTCCTACTTCGCCCTTTCTCCGACACTTGCCCGTTCCTTCCCTCCGTTACGCATCCCTCCACGTTCCCTTTTCCCTTCGCGCGGCCTGTCCTTGCCGCCCGAAGGCCTCGATCTCGCCGTGGCATGGAACAAAGGCGATTCCGAGCGTGCAACGCCGAACGACGCCGGCATTGTCGAGGAACGGCGGAGGAAAAAAAGCCACGTGGTAACGAACGCGCCCGGATCGTTTAAGGAACGGCTCACGGGGCCCCTGTCCGTCAGCCGCGGAACGTATAATCAACGGGTTTTCGTCGATCCTGATCCACCTGACCCAATAACGAACCCTTATCTTCTCTTTATTCGCGGACGAGCGTTCCGTGGACGTCGCCTCGAACCTTCCTCCGCACGGAGGCCGCCCCGGCCTTGACGATGACGAACGCTCGCGAGTTGAACCCGTGCCGTTACACGCGAGTGCTGTGTCGTTTGCGAAATGGGACCGACCGATCGCGGGCACTCGACTCGCCTTGATCGCTGGCGCATTGCGAGATAGAATCCTCGAAACGCGACGTAAACGTGGGAACGTTCAGCGGGTAACAGCCGTTTATACGGTAGCCAGTGCATTTAGCGTTCTTCCAAAGTGTGGGAAGCTCGTTTAAACGTAAATACTTCTCAATTACCTTGTACACAAATATCAGCGGTGAACACGAAAGTCTCGATAACAGGCAACTGAATTTCGAATCTTCCAACGTACGTTCAATCCCAATTTAGCCCCTTGCACTCGCGATCTTTATGACCTTTCAACAACTCGCCTTTATTGGACGATCATACACGGCGTTTACGTTAATTATCAATACATCTAAATAGTCTGCGATACAAGATTTTCTCTTGAAACGCGATAATCTGCAAATAAATTCCGATTCTATATAAATATACGTTGCGATCAGGTGTCCATTATCCTCGAGCAGACTTCACAACATCCCCATAGCGTGACAGAAATACAACCACCATACGTCCAGCTCTATGCCCGACAACTTTCGTCCGTGGAATTTCTTTCTATCGCTAATGCTCCCCGAGTTATCGAGTTCTCCCCAGAAAACACGGTCGTTTGTTCGCACTGTGCGACGCGGCGCGGTGCGGCGCGACGCAACGGCCGTGCGCGTATTTTTCAAAGTTTAAGTAGCCGGAGAGCGGCTCGCACTAGGGAGGTGTGGACGGAGAGAGCGGGTCAGCGAAGAGGGAGAGACAGGATACCGGCGGATAGAGGGTACTCGTCACGCGAACCCTTCATCAAGGTGCCAGC